GCTGCTTCAGTGCCCAACGCGGACCACTCGGGGCCTGTTGGACTGGCGCGCTCGAGGGCTGGGTGGAGACGTCAAACCGGATGTACCGGTGGTCGGAGTAGGTCTCCACCCCCTCCATGACACGCCAGTCAATGGCACGCGGCGACAGAGCGGGGCTAGCGAACGAAATGTCCACCACCGACTCGCCCCGCATCCGCACACACGTGGGGACAGAACCCCGATTTAGGACGACCAGGCCTGTCTCCAGAGCCCAGTCTTCCACCATCCTACCCCGCACATCTGTACGACGAGAACCCCAAGCCAAGTTCTTGACATTGAAGTCCCCGAGGACAAGTACGGGGAGGGGATTACTTCCGACGACGACTGCTCTCAGCTCTGCAAGAGAGTTGTGAAACTCGGCGAGAGATCGGTTCGGGGAGAAGTACACCCCCACAACGACGAACTCCCCGAACCGTGCTGCTACGCACCCCTGACCCCTCCTGACACCTTCAAGGGTCGGGGTACCGGCGGCGGCTGAAGAAATGATGGCCACTGAGCCGTTAAGGTCCGCCACCCAGTCCTCCCTAGGCCAGACAAAATACGGCTCAGCGACCACAGCGATGTTGATCGACCACTGCGCCATGCTCTGGAGCAACAGATCCTGAGCGCAGGCGCAGTGGTTGATATTCGCCTGGAGGAAGCTTAATGGGGCCGTTATAGGCATTCCATTTCAGCTTCCTCCACGGGGCGCCTCTCTGTGGGCGTCGGTGTCGCGGCGGCGGCGGCAGCGACAGTGACAGCGGCGGCGGCGGCGGCGGCAGTCGCGACTGCGGCGGTGGCCACAGAGGCGGTGGCGGCGGAGGGCCCTCCCCTACCCGCGGCCTTGGCCTTGGCGGGTGGCACGCAGGCCTTGCTTCCGGCCCGGTGATCGGCTGGCTTGCCGGTCGCCGCACATGCATCACAGTGCGGCGTGGCGCAGCAGGTCGCCGATATGTGTCCGGGCTGACAGCAGCGGAAGCAAAGGCCACTGCGGTCAACCTCCGAGGCGCATTTCACAGATACGTGGTGCCCCACGAGACAGCGGTAGCACCTCAGAGGTCTGGGCTCCAGCAGCTTAACCTGCGCTGAGACCCAGCCCACCAAAAGCCTTCGGCCCTCCACTATGGTTTTGGCCGCCGTAACAGGGCAGCACACCGTGGCGGCATGCATACCCTGTTGGTCCGGGCGTATGGCGCCTGACCTGACCTGGTCAGTAGTGCACCCCCCGGACCTGGCGACGGCGGCCACTAACTCCTTCTCCGATACCGAGTCGTCCAGACCCATGATGCGCAGGTCTGCGCATCTGACGGGCCTGGACACTCGGGCCTCGTCCGCGTCCAGGGACGCTCTGAGCTTCGCAGCCAGAGCGTCCGCGGTCGCGCCACTGGATTCCCCGGGGATCTCCAGCATACGGGCCCCCGTCTGGGTGACTTTGAGCCGGAGGCCCCCGGTGATCCCGAGCTCCCCGAGATCCACCGCCTCTTTCGCCTTCGCGAGCAGATCGCGGTAGGTAACGCCCTTCTTTTCCGCGTCCGGCTGTAGTGTAATCACTACAGCTGCGGTCTTCGGGGCGCGGAGCCTAGCCGCCATATTGCGCGCCCTGAACTGGCGCTGCCGCTCCTGCTCTTTGGCCTTTTTGGCTGCCTTCTTCCCCTTATTTTTGTCCCCGACGCCTGCCAACCGGCTTCAGCCGTGGGAGGTGTAGGGAGCTGCGGGGGCGGTGGCGGCGGCGGCAGCTGGCTTGCCGCTGGCGCTGGCACATTCGCCGCAGGCACTGGGGCTGGCGCAGCCACCACCTGTGCTGCCGCTTTGCCCTTTTTTGTCTTCGCCTTGCCTCTCTTTCCCATTGCCGGCTTAGCCGGAGCCGGTTCAGCCGGTACCGGTTTTGCCGGAGCCGGCTTTTCAGGGGGAGGAGGGGCAACTGCAGCCCCGCCCGAAGGCTGGCTGGACGGCCCCGGCCTGGATGCGGCAGCTGTGGCCGCCACGTACGAGACCGTTGCCGGCCTCGCCGCCGTCTTGTTTGCCCCTAGGGGGGGGGCGAGAGCACGGAGAACCGGTGCTGGAAGGCAGCCAGCTCCTGCCGGACCAGGTTCAGAACCTGGTTCTCCACCGGCACGGGCTGGCTTGGGCGCTGCGTCTGGGGCGCCGCGCGAGAGGCAGGCTCACGTAGACTGGCCAGGTCTGCGCGGAGCTTCTCGTTCTCCTTCTGGAGAGTCTCCATGGCGGACGTCAGGCGGGCCACTTCCGCCCGCAGCTCCGCTACCTCGTTTACATTAAGCTCGGCCCCAACAAAGTTGGCCTCCGCAGCCGCCATGATGGAGGCGGAGGCCGCGGGAATGGCCTTTAACTTTGAGGAGGCCTTTTGCTTGTGGGCCACGACCTTGATCGCGGCCTCCACCTCCTTTACGAATCTGGCCTTACGCTCCACCTCGGAGCCGCCAGTCGCATCCGTCTCTTCGCCTGATACCCGAGCCGTATCGCCCGGGTGGCGCCCCTCCTCGGCATGCTTTGCCGCTTGTTCGGCCCTCTGATTGTCAGAGGGCCCCCTCCCCTTGCCTCTCAGCCCGCCCCGCCTGTTGGTGGGGATTTTCCGGGCCGAAGTCTCCTCTTCTCCGGCTGACGACCCCTGGTCGCCATCCCGCCTGGACCGCTTGCGGAAGAACTTACTGGTCTCCGCGGTCCCAGGCTCCACGCGTCGGGCCTGTGTATCCCTTGAGATTTATAAACGCTGTGACCAGGTCTTCATTGCAATACTCTGGAACAGGTAAAAGTTCAATATTGTGGCGGGTGGAAGGAAAAAGTGGAGATCTCCCCTTTTCCCCGTGTTGGTAGTTCGGAGCTATATGATGATATATGATGCTTTAAATTCGGAACTTTGTAAGCGCGATTTAGGCTTCGATATGTTTCGCTTGTGGCGCGACGTCAGCGCCGCCACATCACCCCCCTGCTCAGTCCGGAGGTCAATAATACAGTCTAGATGTCGACGAATTTGCAAGTGCCAGGGAATTGCCTTGTAAGTCTGCGGTGAGTCAACAAGAAGGCAAGTAATCTGCGAGAGTGCCGTGAAGCAGAGGCGAGCAGTAAGGCTCAGAGCCGTGTCGAACACTGTAGCGCAGAGAGTAGCTTGAAGGAACAGGAAGCATTATTATTCCAGTGCTGCGATGAACCTTTGTAAAGCTAGATGGCTTGCAGAATGTGAAGACTGCAGACAATATCTGCTCGGGAGCGAATGAATGGGGTACTTGAGGATGATGAAGAATTGAAGTGGTAATTTCCGAAGGTTATTGGTTGCGTGTTCATATCACGTCGGGGTCACCACTGTGGCGGGTGGAAGGAAAAGGGGAGATCTCCCGCCGGGGAAGGTGTTCTGCCCGGGGAGCGGCCAACGCTCCGATTGGTAGTTCGGAGCTATTCTATATATGCTGCTTTAACTTCGGAACTTTGTAAGCGCGATTTAGGCTTCGATGTGTGGAAAAATATTGTGGCGCGACGTCAGCGCCGCCAAAATATTTTTATTGTAGATTATACAAGCTCTGGGTCTACTACCTTTGTCCTCTGCAAAGCAAACCTCCACCACGGCAGAAGCAGCTGCTGCATGGTGAAGATTTGCCTGGAGGACCCTCGTTTTATCCTTGGGGTTAGCCATTTATGGGCGTGGGTGGCCAGGGATCGTTTTCGCCTGCTGAGGACGAAGACGTCCTTTAATGGCGCTCTTGACCCCTGCCGTACCTTTCGGTCTATCGCTCCCATCTCCCTTCCCCTTACCCCTGGCCGACACCAGTGGGCCGAGGCGAGATCAGCGCCTTGGGTCTCAGTCACTCTCGCTGATGACGTTCCAGTCTCACCCGCGAGGTGGAAGGGGAAGGCTGAGGAGATTGGAGTTGGGGCGGTTTAGGCTCCAGAGCCTCCCCTGAGCTTAAAAGTTATCATTTTAAAACCAAGGACGACTCTCCCGCCTGCCGCCCGGAGACTCCGCCGACGGGTCGTCCAGAGTAAAAGGTTACTAGGAGCCCATTCTCCTCGTCCCTACGGTGAAGAATTTTCCAGAGCTCGGTATGGAGCCCTTCATTTTATGCCCTCAACAGCACAGCCGCCTCCTCTAGAGAGTCAGCTTCACTGCGGGGCAGAAAGGTGATGCCCAGCTGAGACTTAGGCAGTTCGCTCTCGGGTGTTATCGAGAGCTCTGCGTCCGGCCAGGGTTTCAGTTTTTCGTCTTCACCCACAACTCAGTCCTGGCTTGCCTTATTCAGGCACGTTACCAGAATCCAGCCTGGCTTGTGGGTGAAACCCTAAAATTTCGGTCCCATTCCCGGCTGCGCTCCACAGACAGCTTAGCGATAGCCTGCGTTAGTACTAGATGGACCAGCCTCATCTCCTCCACGCTCATAGGATTCGAATTGCGAATTCCTACAGACGCGGAGCCAGCTACACCACTAGAGTTGAGCTTCTTCTCTCACGTTGCCAGCTTCACAGATTTCCTGGGCTGGTCTTTGGGGGACTCCTCCTTTGACCGTATTTACCCTTACTTACATAAACAGATCCAAACAATGACTGACTGGTGAAGCGCTGTATATTGTTCAGTATTTTTAATGGAAGTCATGAGACCGTTGTCCGGTAATCAGCTGTGTACTTAGTGTAAAATGTTTAACCTCCTCTTACAGCTAATAAGTAGGACAATCAGCTATAGGTAATATTTTTTTTATAGAAAAAACAAACGAGCACACAGTCCACCAATGTATGCGGTGGCCCACAGACATCTAAATCTATATTCGATTAAGTATCAAGATGTAGATGCGTCGTCACCCTTGAGGAATATGATGCAATGCCTAATTATCCGTAAAATGGGCTGGTATGTTGAAATACAGCAGCTATTATTCTGTAAGAGGCTGCCCTTCCCTTCTCCGGTCGAGCCCACCTTATATGTAAAGAAATGTATTCTATTTTCGTAATATTAACTTATAAATTGTTTATTTTCAGTTCCTATGGAGGTTCGTATTTTACGACGAGAATACTTCAACCGCTGGTACGGTCTGAAAGCGTATTACGCGGCGCTAACATTTTCATCCCTTCCTGTTATGGTAAATACATTTTTTTATTTACAGATAATGTAGATATAATATTGGATGAAGTATTTAATATAATCTGAAAATAAAACAATATAAACTTATATCATCGAGTACCAGTTTCATTTTCTAGTATTTACCTAGTATCTATTATCCATAGGTATTACAAAAAATTGAAAATCTAGATCGGCCACGGCAAGCAGCGTTCCTTAAACCAAAAATTCCTCCTAAACAAAGGTTTCTCGAAACCTAAAGATTCCATGAAACTATTTTTGCTTTTAAAATAATTTCACAGTTCTACAAATATTATTTTGAAGTATAGTCCAAAATATGTAATGAGATATACCCATTACTGTTATGTTATGGGATCATACATCAACTCGGCGCAATAATTAGTAATTTTTTGCCGAATTCCAAAAACGAGACGGTACTCAATTCGACTGTATGTTTTTTTATGTGTGTTACCTCATAAATTTTTACTGTGTGAACCGATTTGGATGATTCTTTTTTATTTGAAAGCTGGTACTTCTAGTGTGGTCCCATATGAATGATCAAGATCAAACGAATAGTTTTTGAGTTATTCTTAATACTTAACTTATATTGAAGTCGGCTGTACAAAATGTTTAATTATAAATGATGCATTTAAAATATTTCACTTAGATACGAGTAGACTTAGATAAGATTTTCATTTTTAAAATAAGTAGGTACTTCTAATAAAAGTTTTTGTTCTTATTTTAATGTCACTGTCTTTGATTTGTAATCGTTTGATGTGGGGTTCCATAAAATCAAAGGGATTTGGACCTTAGACTACCGCGCGACTGTGGCTCATATTACATGAACGTAAAATATGTACTGACTGGCATTTTATCTTTAACAGCAAAGTCCCTAAATAAAGATTTTTTTTTACAATTTATTTTTTCTTTGCTTTCAGTTATTCTTCGGTATACTGTTCCTAGGCATTACATATTTGATGTCAGGACAGATACTTGAATGGGACCGATTCATATTGTTTGTAATTTACGGAATTCTGACCGGCATATGCTCCGAGGGGCTCGGACTAGCAGTGGGATCCGCATTTGATGCTACCGTAAGACTAATACATAATAATTACATAAAAATAATAATAAATATACAGTATTAACCCGCTAAATCAGCCCCGACATCACACGGGTTATTCCTGAACCTGGTCCAATTGTGAATCTAAACCAGCCAGATATCCATTCAGGCCCACACAAAAATTTTCATCAAAATCGGTCTCAAGACTAACGGACAGCAATGGAATTTTATAGATGTATAAAGATAAAGTAAGTTTTACTTGTGCACCTATAAAATATTGTTTACACAAAATGTAGATTTTTTTTATAGGATAATGGTGACAAACTAGCACACAGTCCACCTGATGGTAAGTGATTGCTGCGGCCCATAGACATCTACATCTATCCTCTGTTACAAATCAAAATGTAGATGCGTTGTCACCCGTGAGGACTAAGATGGAATGCCTCATTTCCAGTAAAAAGGGCCAAACGAACTCACAGTTTTTTAATTTCATCGTTGGTATATTATCCAACTTAACAATTAATTTATGAACTATCAATTTGTCTATAAATATATAATAGTTGGTGCGTCGGTTAGTCATCATAACAAACTAATAAGTGCTAGGGTCATCGTGTAACTTTTGAACTATCTGACCGGTTGAGATCACATTCACATAATACCTATATTATTTTTGTCCAGACGATGGTTCATATCTATGCTGGGATCCGATATGTTGCCCTGTTGTTATTAACAAATTCAATACTTACGGAGCAATAAGATTTATAACCATAATAATTTTACGTACGGTAGAGCCTTGCTGCAGTTATATTATGGTAGTAGTGTCACAGAATACCAGCGTAAAAAAACAGCTCAATGCTGCAGTGTTTCGTATGATGATAGTGGAGAACCGTATAACCTTTTTACCGGAAACGAGGCATTCCATTTTAGTCCTCAGGAGTGACATCGCATCTGTATGTTGATTCTTAAACAAGGATAGATGTAGATGTCTATGGATCACAGCATCCACTTACCATCACGTGAAATGTGTGTTCATTGAAAATGTATATATCGGTATAATTCTCAATAATAAAATCACAAAATCTGGACCCTCTCGGTAGCGCTGTGATTGAGGTATAAATATGTTAATATATATCTACAGTATTATTTTATAGTAATATTAGTATTTAAAAAAATATATTCATCCAAGTATTATTACAACAATAGAACTACAAAACCACGGTTTACATTATAGGTAACAATCGTTTAGATTATCATATCCATTGATATAATGCGATACACCATGTAAATAATTTTTTTTTTCAGAATGGCTCTATAATTGCGCCAGCTACAGCGGCACCACTTTTGGTATTGTGTTGCTACGGTATGGGTTTCGGACCATCCATAGAGGCCAGAATGAAAGCCTTAATGTCTCTATCTTACCTACGTTACGGATTAGCTGGATTGTCTATTGCTCTCTACCAAAAGAGACCACTTATGGAATGCAGCCAGGATTTCTGCCTATACTCTGACCCTACACTGTTGCTAAGAGATGTAGGAATGGCCACTGACACTTATTACATGCAAATCGTTGGTTTACTTGTATTCATTTTTATTCACAGGCTGATCGCGTATTTTGTGTTACGTTATCGTCTAACTTCAGAGTTCTCAAACAAATTTATGTCATACATCAGCAAATTTTTAAAATACAGATAATGTCTTTAATAATACGATAAGATTTCAATTACTTAATTCTAATTTTATTGGTTAAGGGATGAGCAGTATCTAGGTAATTTTAGTTGTGTAACTATTACTGTCAACAATACACACATATCTAATTATCATCTACCATATCATTGTATCGTATGTACATTGCTAAAATCAAATATTTAACGAAAATAAATTTCATTAGAATACAATTGCATATAAAGATTCTTCAGTGATCGTCCACAATATAACTACCACTACTCTATGTTGTCGTAAATCAAGATAAGTGCAGTGAAAAATCATCGATCAATGAGGGCATCCACGACTTTTTCTGCCACCAGGGCGGCGCCACTGTACAGTGAGGTATAACATTTGACAGATTTCTTAGCGGGAAAGTTTATTTGTTCGGAAAATGTAAAGGTTATTGTTTTTTCTGTACTATTAGCTATATTTTATATTAATAAGATTAAAAATAAATAAACCAAACCACAGATATTCATAAAAGTAGAAAAATTAAAAAAAAATGTTAAAAATGTGCAAAAAATTAAAGAGCAAACCACTGAGGCATTGTTTTGTGTATTAATATAATACTCTAGAAACTCATAAACTTTTATTGAAAACTAACTTCTCAATTAAATTACATTGTGTAGCAAAAAATCAAAACCTGTGTCAACTAGCGATATCTGGTGAGCAGAAAATTATTAGCCCTCTTTGAACACAACAGAGAACATGAGTCGTTATATGAATTGTTCTTATGATGGTAAAACTTGCGTGTATGGAAATTGCTGTCATTTAGTATATTTTGTTGGACGAACTTTATACCTATATTACATACACACTATCCGCAACATCAATTAAGCAAAGGAATCTCGAATCTTATTATATTTTTACATTTTTCTGACACTGTTTGATTAGTTGAGCATTCTTAGGTAAACGAAAATGTGACAATTATTGATAAATTAATAATTCTCTTCATTTTTAACAATATTGAATACATAATATAGTATTTGTTGATAAGTATTATATCTGTGATTTTGTTTATTTCCTATCATTAGTGTTGTCATATATATATAAGATATCTTTAACAAAAACCAAAATGAGACTATTTTTACTGTTTTAGAATTTTAGATGTACCCAAATACCTACGTCAAGTATCCATTACTATCTGCAATGTAACAAACGATTATACAATTATTATAAAACGTGCTAAAAATATGAAATGTAAAATCAACAAAAATTATCTTAGCACTATTTATACAATACTGATTTCTTGTAGGCTATTATTTTTCTCGTCTCTCATTACTTGCAATATTGACTCATATTTCTATTATTTTTATATGCCTATATATTTAGCCTGTAGGATAAGAAAATATTTAAACAATTTGGAGAATTAGCGTTGTCTTTCTCGTTTCTCATCGTTCACTGTAAGATTGACTTTCATATTGCTATTATTTTGTAAAAGCATATTTAGCCTGTAAGATTAGAAATATTTAAACAATTTGGAGAACATGCCGTCGTTACGTGTACGATAACTTGATAACTGTGATAAATTAACGTTAAACGCGCCATGTGTCTGATAATTATATTTTCTTATCGACTGAGTTCAAGGATAACTGTTAAATACTTACGCAATGATATTATATACTTAAGAAGACAGTGAAAATAAAAAATCTATCGAATATTTTTTGTTTTATTCAAAAATCCCTAAATTATTACTTTTTTAAAAATTAAAATAAGTTTAATTAACTTATTTTATATTCCCGACGTTTCGGTTGCTTTCCAGCAACCGTGGTCACGGGGGACTGAGGTGATTGACGTCCCAATGTCAGTGTTAAATTTCAATAGAGAGGGAGGCTGGGTACTACCACCTGCTTGGGATCCTGTAATTCATAAAATTAAAACTAAACCCAAGCATACCACTGCAAGACTTCAAGACACAGTTAGTTCATTCTGCGTAGATCAGACCAAAATTATTAATTAAAAAAGCTGAAGGTACTTTGGTTTAACACTGGCATTGGGACGTCAATCACCTTAGTCCCCCGTGACCACGGTTGCTGGAAAGGAACCGAAACGTCGGGAATATAAAATAAGTATAAGATAAAATCCGTAAAAATAGTTTTATTCAATGTGTAGTGTCCGCGTAAATATAAGAAATCATTATTAAAATAAGTTATCCACTTTGACAACCTTTTTACCACGTACCAGTAAAGGGGCTGAAGTTTTCGTAACTCAACATACGTAACGACTGCATTACTTACTGCTATTTTAAACTGGTATTCTGTGTGAGTATGGTTCTTCACCAGAGGAGCCGACCGATTTGTGACATAGCTACTGGAACTTTATCATAATTATCTAAATACTGAACTAGTTTTTAGAGTTCATCGTAACGGTGGATAGTAATCATATAGGTTTAATGGGTTTTTTTTTACCCAGATGAACCTACCAACCCATACATGGGTTTTGAGAAATAAAAAATTCTACCCTCATTATTTGATTTATTTTAAGCAAGTTGCACATATTTTTAGAAGATTTATTTTTTATTGATATATAGATTTATTTATTTATATATAGACTTAATAAATAATACTTGTTTCACTTAAAATTGTTTTATGTTTTCTTATAAGTATTAATCAAAGCTTGTAAATAAGCCGACCGACCCATATATGAGATATGATTTTCCAGGTATTCCGGAGGTTTAATTTTTTTCTAAATATTTTTCTTGAGATATATTAAAACAAATATAAAAAATCACAATTTTCTAGGATAAAAATAGTTTCAGGATTTTCTGTTAATATTCCATTAGAGCAAAATTTACAGTTAAACTATTATACATAATGTAAGTGAAGGATCAATTCTTTCACTGACCTGGATTCGAACTCCAGTCAAAAATGGTACTTATTTTCACTCCTAATGTTTAATTATTTAAGGAACAGAATAATTCCCAATAGTCTTTATATGGTAAAAATTACTTTGCATACATCCGCTAGATAAAATATAATTATGTATCTCCGTTATTCTATACACATACTACGTTACTTTTCGGAAATCCATTATATTAAAGATGGTAAAAATAACTTTGCGTACAATGGTTTTTATGTAAAGCAATTGACATTATTGACCCGCAATACAATACACAGTGTCTAACATTGATTTGTTAAATGTTACAGCTATTTGTAATTGTTCTATAATACACTAATTTTACACGTTTACTTCTAATTATACAATTTTATAGCTTGAATTATATTAGGAATCATTTAACAGAATGTGGGGTAGTGTATATATGATTTTTTTGATGACGAGCACACAGTCCACCTGATGGTAAGTGGTTGCTGCGGCCCATAGACATCTACATCTATCCTCTATTACAAATCAAAATGCAGATGCGTTGTCACCCGTGAGGACTAAGATGGAATGCCTCATTTTCAGTAAAATGAGTATCCGGATCTCTACAGTCACCATACGAAACACAGCAGCGTTAAGCTGCTATTTTACGCTGGTATTCTGTGAGAACGTGGTCCTTCCTCGGTCGAGCCAACCCATTCATGCTACAACTATACTACTAATATAGCTGCAGCATGGCTCTACCACGTATAGTCCATCTCATATCGGCATTTCGTGAAAATCATAGCTTCTGGCGTTTTGTTGTATAAAATCTTAGGAATCATATGAGGATTTCTCCTAATGGTAATAATTATACATTAAAGGTTTTGACTTTCATCGGACCGAATTTCAGTCACAGCAGTCTCAACGGAGACAAGGCATCTCCACACAGGATTATATTTCCCAAGTATGAGAAATCACAGATGTACTTTCTATTCCCTCACTCCCATATTCCGATGGAACGGCAATCCGATACCACTGAAAAGATATCAGGCGCAGGACAAACAGCTTTACGTGCTTCTCGAGAAACGGGAGTGAAACACCGCTATATTCCTATCACTGGGCTGGTACTGAACATTTCTTATTTTATTCCTTATTTATTATTTTAGTCAATTTAAACTATGGCTCCTTAAAATAGTTTTTATTTTTATTTTGGCAGTTAAGTTATTATTTAACCGAAGTAAGTAATTAAAAAAAATATGCATCAGCTGGGTATAAGATAAATTCCAATTGGATTTATCGATTGGTTAAAGAGGAAACAAACAAACAAAAAAAATATATAATTCTATCAATCCGATTAAACACGAAACAGTATTTATAAATTTTCAATAACATTCAGAATCTTGTAGAATATTGAACTTATTCTTGAGTCGCTTACGTACAAATTTAGGAGAGTAAATAATAAGGCGCCAACGCCTCATTAAGATCCGTTGTAATTAAGAGCGAGGCAGCACGTACAATACCAAAAATGAAGGCGGAATTTTTTTCTTCTTTCTTATTTCCCGTTATTATTTAAACAATCTGTAGATATTATGTAAGGAGAATAAATAAACGAATAAAATAGAACAATGGCTTGTCGTCGTCTTCAGTGCTTGTTTGGCCAACAGACCAATTTAGACGAAAATGACCTTTGAATATAATATGCATAAGAATCAATTTCCACACAGTCGAGTAAATCAAGTATGACTCGTGTAACTATACCAATAAACTAGTAAAAGACGATGTTAAAAAATCAATATCCACAGTTACAATTTTAATTTTCGTGCTTGTGTTGCTTATCACCACAAATGAACCAACATTCCAATAGCGGAATTCTCACTGCGTGCTTGTTTGCCGTATATCCTCAAATCAACCAATCACAGGCCCGCACGCTCATGACTTCACACCTCGCTGATCCGCCATATTGTTTAGTTACAATCTATCGCCATGAGAAACGGTGTTATAACTGCGAGATTTATTAAGTTTTTCGGTGAAGTTATAAGTAAAACGAGGTAGAAAGTGAATCTGTAACTTTAAAAATTATGTCCTGGACCAGTTGTGATAAACGGAATATCCAACGTACTGCATACTACGAAATTTAAGTTGATTTTAATCATTGTAGTATTATTTTAGGTTATTTTGTGTTTGTT